AGGAGAGAGACTCTCTTTCCTTGTTTAATGTGGCCTCTAAAGATCGCACTTCCTGTCTAACAATATTTTTGCCCCCACTACCTTTACATTCCCTCTATTGTCTTTTTGCTCGATGGTCAAGAGTCAAGTGTGGAAAATATAATGATGTTCCTTATGTAAATATTATGATACCTTTTCAAGGACATGTTATAATAAAACTTAATTGTTTCTGGCTGATGTGAGTTTGCACTTTCAGTTTGCTTCTTGATTTATAAAATAAAATAAAATTTGAATTATGGTTTTGTTTGAAATAACTACTTGAGAATAATAATTATGACTGGGATCCAAAATAATACCTAACCTAATCACCGTAAAAACCTAATAACCGGTTTTTACTTTAAAAATAAAAAACCGGTTATAACCGGGACAAAAAAACAACCGATAAAACCGGTTATTGCAAAGTAAAAAAACCGGTTTTCGGTTAAAACCGGTAGGTTTTTCCCATCCCTAGTTTTTTACCAATAAATATGTTTCTATTGTTTTGTAATCTTGCATGTCTGGAATAACCCTTTTAGATTTTATAGTCTGGAAAACATTTTTATCAAATTTCGTATCCATGATGGCCATTTCGTCCTCTTATAAAGTGGCTCAAATATTTCAGCTCTTGTTTTTATAGTTCATATAACTACCGGGTCTTTCCTTTCCGGCTTATCAGTTGCACATGTCACTCTATGGAACTACCTTATCTTTACTATACGATAGTTGCATTACCATTTAAATATACAGGGTGAACCAAGATGTTTTTACCAGCCTATAATTCAGGAAGTAATAAGCCTATTCACGCTGAAATGCCAAACCAAACTTAACATAAATCACTTGACAGATGTCAAAACGGTCGACAATTACAAAATAAAATTATTTCATATTTTGAATGTTATTATTATTGAAATTAAACAATAAATTAAAAATTTAGCACACTTATTTAAATTAATATGCTCATTGTAGCACACCGTTGAATTTGGAATGAAAAACCTTTTCATTTCACCCAAAATTTACATCCCTGATCTATTAAATTTTTTCATTGTAATAAAATATATAAGGGAAAGTAGCCTAATTTCGGATACCATTTACAATTAGTGTCATATTTTTCACCTAATAACACATTTTAAACTTTTATCTACTCAAGAGTACTTGCAGAGTAATATAGAAACTAATTTTATTATCATAGACAATTTATTGAAAATCTTTTTTACAAAAAATATTGTTCAATAAAATTAGTGCTTTTGTATGTCAAAAATTTTAGGGCTCCTAATTTCGGATACCCTATCCGAAATTAAGACACCATTTTGTTCATCATAAGAATAGTTACACATCTTGACAAAAGTCGCAAATATAGGTTTTCTTCTTATCAGCATTGGCGCACATCTCATAACACCACTTGAAGCACTTTATACACCTTATCCACTTCTCACCGTGTGTATCTTCGGAATATAAACTGTCACAAAACATACATTCTGTGTCTCCATCTTCATCGTCTACATCCATATCAGAATCATCATCCAAAATAAGGTCATCACCAGGATGTGAAGTGTCACTACTACTCGATTCAATTTTTTTCTTTTGCTTTTTTTGGCGTGGAGTTTTTTTTTCTGTTGACTTGATTTAATTCGTTGCTTATTTTTGGTTTCTTTTCTTTCAAAGACTTTTTTCTTTCTTGTTCGGCTACACTTCGTTCAAGTTCATCTTTATAAGGTGTACTAGTTATTATCCAACTAGAACCTTTTCGAGGATTTTTTTGTTTGTTTGTTTGTGAGGTATAACTGCAAGAAGGCAGTGGACTAATATCCTCAGCTCTTATCATAGTTGCCGTAGTTTCAGTTGCATTTCCATTGGATGATTTATTTGTTAAGTTATGTTTTGGAGGTGTTCTTTCGATAATGCTTTGTGGTTCTGGTCTTGACTGACCTCTTGTTGGTAATACTTCCCCATGATTTTGATTTATGGGTGGTGGTGTTCTTTCTCTTTGTCTCTCCATTATAAAATCGTGATCAGAAAAGTTATTTTTATTAAAAGGATATATTCCAGATTTGCGAAAACCATTCGCGGAAATTTCTGCAGTAGCACTTTTCAAAAATGCCGGGCACATAAGCTTACAAATTTGATACGAGTTTATGGTGCGTCCAGGATTTTGCCTTAGCCACATCTCAATTTGTTGCGAATAATATGTTTTAAATGGTGACATAAAAGACAAATCTAGAGGTTGTAGTTTGTGTGAACTGTGCGGCGGGATACACAAAATTGTAACGAAATTTGCACGTCCTGCTTCTATCACATCTATATTTCTTGTGTGGCTGTAGTGACCATCAAGAATAAGCAGCACTGGGTCTTCACGGGATGGTTTCACGTGAGCTACGAAATGCTGTAGCCATTGGGAAAAAATGTGCTGCTGAATCCAACCTGATGGATGGCAAGCTGCAATAGAGCCAGGCGGCGATCCATCTAATAATTCCACTTTCATGTTCTTTCTTGGAAACACGAATAATGGAGGGACAAACCCACCAGCAGCATTCATACAAAATACAACAGTAACTAATGCTCCTCTTTCAGTCACGGTAACAGATCCAACCTGTTTTTTTCCTTTTAATGTTATAACACGAGTATTCTTGGACTGAACCGTTGTTATGCCGCTTTCATCAACGTTATAAACTCTTGCGGGGTTGAAGTTAACTTTTTCAATTGACGTTTCTAAAAGATCATAGAATCTGCTGACATTTTCTGGGGTAAATCCCTTAATTCGGGCTTTCGAGATTCCTTGTGGTTTTCTAAGGGACAAAACTGCGTTTCGCCTCATAAATCCCCTTAACCATTTTTTACCGGCAGATTCGGCATGGGCAAATGGATGACGAAGACCATTTCGTAAAGCTATTTGATATGCAAGTCTCTTGATATCAGCGGTCCCAATTCCGTAAAATCGCCGGTCCATTTCTAGGCAATACGAGACTAAATCTGCTTCCATTTCTGCAGAAAGTACTGGTCTTCTTCCAATTTTAACAGCAACCAACTGCTCCGGAGTTTTATTTTCTTGCTTAACATAATCTTCCAGAGTTGATTTCGGAACAGCAAATAACTTCGAGGCTTTAAGATACCCCATTTCCTTTCCCCTGACGGCACGGATAGCACGTATCATTCGGTCTGGATCCCATTGTTTATGTTTTTTACTTGTTTTTGGCATTTTCTTCTGAAAAAAAACAAAAGTTTTTATGCTAACATGATCATCAATTTAAGGTTCCTAATTTCGGATATCCGAAATTATGGGACTTGTACTATCCGAAATTAGGAATTTTTTATTTTTAAGGTTAGGGCTCTCTAATTTATATGTGATTAAAATCTGCTTTAAATTAGTAGCAAAATCAAATAAAACAGGTTTCTAGCTTACCCCTGCCAAAAGATCAAACTTCAAACAGGAATAAAAACACGAAAAAATAGGCTTTGAAATACGACCGAAAAAAAACTGCACAATAACGTTTGGTGGTTTCGGCACTGCCATCTAACGGGGAGCAGCTCTACTACCTAAACAATTTAAGATAATGTTCTCTGTGGTATTCAGCGTGACATACGTATAGGTTTCTGTTCGCAAATAAAGAAACTTTTTTAGATACACCGCTATCCGAAATTAAGACACTATCCGAAATTAGGCTACTTTCCTCTACAGATTTTCTGAATACATCAACTGATACTATTATAGGTGCAATTGACATTTCCTAATTTTCAAATAAAAATATTTATTACTTCCTAAATTGTATGCTGTTGAAAACGTCTTGGAGTACCCTGTATAAAGGCAGTTTCAAGGTGTTTACACGTATCTTCTTCTTCAGATGCAAATCCACTAATGGATGTTAGCGATCACATTTTCCATTAATTCTCTATTTCTTGCAATATGTATCAGAGATTGTATGTCGTTAATCCCTGTCCATTGCCTTATGTTTCGGAGCCAGGACATTTTCTTGCGTCCCATTCCTCTCTTGCCTTCAATTTTACCCTCGATTATAAGTTGGAGGAACTGGTATTTTTCATTTCGCATGATGTGACCTAGATATGCCGTATGTGACAAAGATCCTTTTCTTGATGGTTTCGAAAAGTTGGCGTTCTTGGTTTATTCTTTTAAGGACATTTATATTTGTGATTTTCGCTGTCCATGGTATTTTTAGGATACGGCGATAAAGCCACATTTCGAAAGCTTCTAATCTGTTTATATCCCTCGTTTTGAGTGTCCAGCCCTCTACGCCATATAGCAGCACTGACCATACGTAGCACTTAGTAAACCTTAGTCTCAGTTTTACTTCCCTGTCCGATGCCCAGTCTTCAAAAAGCCACGATCCCAGGTATTTAAATTTACTCACTCTTTCAAAGGACTTAGTATTCAGTGTTATGGTGGAGTTTTCAAGTGCATCTAAGTTTCTGGAGATGATCATAAATTTGGTCTTTTTGGTATTAATCTCTAATCCCATTCGCTTACTGTATTCTTCGATTAAGTGACAAGTTGTTGAAGATCGACTATGTTGTCACAAATTAAGACACCATCATCAGCATATCGTATGTTGTTGATCAATACTCCTTTCACCTTGATTCCCATCTCTGCATCCTCCAAAGACTCTTGAAATATGGCTTCCGAATAAATGTTAAATAAAAGAGGGGAAAGCACACATCCCTGTCGAACGCCTCTTCTTATATGTATGGGTTTGGATATAGAATTGTCTATTTTTAACTGTGCCGTTTGATGCCAGTACAAGTTTTCAATGCGTCTTATGTCTTTTTGGTCTATATGAACTTTCTTGAGAATCTGCATTAACTTGTGGTGTTGGACACGATTAAACGCTTTTTGGTAATCTAAAAAGCATAGGAACACATCCTTACACGTATAGAAAAGCTAAAAACAGCCTTGTCAAAAACGACTGCTCTATACTTCTATTTATAGGGTTCTGTTTTTAAAATCAACTATTATCTTTTTCTGTTATTTTCAGCTTTCTTACAAAGAAAAGATTACAATGTTCTTTTTGTAAACGCCCCACGACTGGAGGCCGGTCCATGGTATCTTACAGCAGCACAAAATACAATGGTTGTTGGACAGTATGCAGCCCAATTTATAGATTATTTAGTAAGCAGGGGATTATATTTGCCTAGTTTGCACCTAACTGGTTTAAGTTTGGGTGCCCAGATGGCTGGCGTATGTGGACAAAGTGTTCAAAGTGGAAGAATCCAAAGAATTACAGGTAATTTCTGATGGCTATTTTTAAAATTTATAATCTAAAAGGGTTATTTAATAATATTAAAAAAATAACAAGTTTTGAGATGACATTCCCCTCGGACTTCGATCTTCTTATAACCAGTGCTCTTTTGGTACAATTGAGATGAGCAGATATCTTTAATCCTGCTGTACCGTTTGAGTCAACTATGCAAATGTACTGTTCGGATTAATATGACGCAACTATGGTTTACGGTCCTTAATCGAGATAAAATAAGCTAATGGTGCTAAGCAAAACTTAATATTAACAAAAAATTATAGTTAATGAAACAAATATTATGTTGCTAATGTAAATTAAACCTTATTAACAAAAATAAAAGGCATTTTTTTGTTTCCCGGAAAAGTCTAAGAAAAAATACCTACATATTTTAATTTAGTTTATAACTGGGACATTAATTAAAAGAATGGGTTTTACAAATATGTTTGTGACTTTTACAACATAAAATATTAGTCTTGTTATTGTTTTTACAGCGTGCTTATTTAGCAGGCGGAGTTGGATTGTTCATAGACGGTTCACTAGAATTTCCATTTTCTCTACTCATTTCTGGTCGTGGTTTTTTTACCAGTTCTTGGTCTGGTTCAGAGTTTTTAGTTCTTGGTAAATTTTTCCTGAAAAGGATAAGTGGTTTCATCAGTGTTTTTTCCCGATTTCCCAAGAAAAATTCGCCGTTTTGTAAGTTTATTGGTGTTCGATTGGGGATTTATTAATGTCCATAAAACGAACGCGTTGTAGGCAGAAATGGTCAGCATATTATAAAAAGCAATCATAGACCAGCCTTCTGTAAGTCCTCTTACATGTATATGTACCAACAAGCTGATCTAGAGTATTCACTGCTCCCTTACTTTAATTGTAATCTAAAATAAATATTTTGGGGCTTTTTGTCATTTCTGTCACTAATAGCCTTATCATGATGTAAAGTACTAAAAAGAATAAAATTTTTATTCATTTTAGGAATATAGTTAACAACAGTGGTATCTTGCGTGAAGTAAAAAAAAGAACTATGGACTTCTTTATTCGCAATTTGTGCTGGGAGCTCTGGCTTATTTTTTCTTATATTTCCCAGCATTGTATTTTTTCTTTTTAGAAGTTGTCCTAAATTGTATGATGTAAAAAAGTTATCACAAGTAATATTGTGGCCTTTCAAATCACTACACAAGTCGCACACTACACGCATTCCCTGATTCCTCTAAGGGCAACTAATTGCTCGTCGACGGCAACATTTTCATCAGGGTTAAAATATTTTGGTAGATTTTCTACCCATTTTTCCCAAATTTTACGTATTGTAGCAAGTTTATCAGTACGTCTCCTATTCTGTTTAGTAGCCATGTTATCAAAACGTATTACTTGTTAAATTTTTGTAAATACTTTCAGGGACATTGTTGCTCGAAATACACTACGACCCGTTTCTTCATTGCACAAACTTCTAGTTGATTCGCCATGGGACTTAAAAACTCCGTCTAATAAAAGACCAATGTATGCTTGAAAACGAATTTTATTCAAGTTTTTCTAGTTGGTTCCAAAAACACGTTGTCCTTCCATGTTGGTCATATTTATAATTTGGTTTACAACTATGTCAGAAAAGAGTGCGTCAAATGAATTTTTGATATCGAAAATTCGTACACCTGCATACCTTGTAACTCCTGGAGCATTATTTATAACATTGGCCGTGGAAAAACGACCGCGTTGATAAGGAGGGTCGAGAGACCACTGGATATTATTGTCTTTTGAAGGAACTGTTACAGAAGGTTCTGCAGGGTGTTGTACGTAGAATAGAACAGCATAGTCATATGTCCTTTCTTCCTCACTCTTACTATTTGTATTGTTTTCTGTTTCTGATATGCACTCATCACTCTCTAACACGTTCTCAAGCTCGCGAAGCTCATCTTCGGTTAGCGTTCTTCGATGCAACATTATCAACATGCAAACATAGACTGAAATTTGAAATGTAAATGAATGCGCTTGGCATATCAGTGTCCTACCAGCCTACCACTTGTCTATCACCCCCACTTCCTTCTACGTGACATGTTCTTCTAAATGTCATCGTCCAGCTACACTACACATTTTTTACAAGTTCTAGCTTGCAGAAACTTGTTTCTATTTATAGTCGTACTTGACTGACAAACTGTTACAAAATATATAAAATACTGCCAACTAAAGATACGTACACACCTAATTTTTAACGGTTTAAATACGTGGGTCATATTGACCCGAACGTACTATAGGTAACAATTTAATTTTTATCAAAAAAATCAGGATGTTGATTTTTTATCAAGTATGCAATTGAAAGACCTCATATTAGCTAATAAAGTCACGAAACCTTAAAACGTTACGGCACGTAATAATTTGCAAAATAAGAAATAATTTTTTTTGGTCAAATAGACCCGAACAGGACAGCAGGGTTAAATCATCTGCCCAAATCTTTTGTGGCCTTTATTTTGTTTGTTACTTAGTTGATTATCCAGCGTCTACAGTACATTATTTGTTAGAAGACTATTGTCTTCTTGTCTCTTGCGATGGCCTGCAACTTTTTACTTTATATATTTATACTTATTAACTATTAATTTTCGTACAATTTCGCACCAATCATTAAGTTTTCTGTCTTTTAGGTTTTTATTTTTTTTTTTCTGGGATCATATTAGTTTTCCCCTAAAATTAAAGTTTTCTATTTAACTGGGTTGTAGAACAATCTACCGTTTATCTTGTATACCAGTTATGTGAGGAGTTTTTATTTGAACGATTGATAGTCCAGTTTCGTCTACGTTAAAAACTCGATCGACCGTAAATTTATGCTTCCCTAGTATTTACTCTCCATTAAAATTAAATATTATAAGAACGGGCCTTCTTCCTAACCTCTTTTCAACTACTTTCTCTGTAGAACATTCGGTTTGATGGACAAAACGTGGCAGCGTTGTTTTTGGTACATTAAAACATTTGACAGCCTTTTAAGCTATTGTTTTCTCATGTACGTCAATAATCACATTAATCATAGAGTGCTTGTCCCAAGTTTTCCGATGAGACATTCCTGACGAAGATTTTCCTTTTAGCGTTGACAATTATTTCCGCGGCAACATGGCGAGACTACGACAATACACACTTGTTCAAAATCAGAGAAATAATTCTTGTTGATAATAAGAACCCAGGTAATTATTAGGGAACCCGGTTCCATAATATCGGCAGCAGAAGGGATCTATAATAACAACAATGCATTGTTTAAGAAAAAATGAGGTTATATTTTAAACTAGTTTATATATAGATATTTTATTTGCAAAATAAAAAATCAAAGCCTATGTTAAACTACTAAAGCACTTAGAACTTACTTACCACTAGATGGCACCACTATATGAGACAAAACGCTTTATGATCGTGATTTACAACTTGGCGACATTCGGCGAAACTAAATTCCATATTATCACCTTCTCCTCTAATCTTTTTTAAAACGATTTCCAGAGTGGTAATCTAAACGTCAAACGTTATTTAAAAAATGTAATTCTCATTAGAATCAATTGTGGCTTAACCCATTTTAAACATATTATTTAACTTATACATTGTACAAGAAAACAGATTTTGAATTTATCCATTCATGTTGTATCTATGTAAAACACTCCAGTATCAAATTTCAGAGTGGTTTTCTCAAAAAAATGTACCAAATGAATAATAATCGATGATATTATACCAAACAATTAGTTATTCCATTTTATCAGTTCAATAAATTCTATTATAATTGATATTAAAGAAAGTTTAAGAGTCTTTTTATGTAATTTATAGATATTTCGAAGCAACTGATACTTATTCGTATTTATTACTTCAACACAATTTTGCAATAAGTTGTTATCTTAGACAAAACTTATATAACCATATTGAATTTTTTTTACATAAGATTCTTAAAAATTGTAGATTATTTTAAATTAATTTCAATTGTAGGAATGGATCCTGCTGGGCCTTTATTTACAAAATGGCCAAAGAATTTAAAATTAGACGCAGGAGATGCAGAATTTGTGGACGTTATACACACAGACGCTGGAATCTTCGGTTACCCTACTTCTATAGGACATGTAGATTTTTGGCCAAATCAAGGCATTTCTCCTCAACCTGGATGTACACTGCCAGAAATTAAGAGGAGAAATCCGGATTCATTTATTATTGAGCCGTGTAAGTAAAGTCATATTTCACTCTTGTTAAGTAAAGCTTTGAGTTGTGTGGCGTTAATAAAATCAAGTGAAATTCAATGAAGAAGAATTGATTTACAGCAACCACAGAAAGATTGACAACTGTGATAAGGTCAATTAAGAATTACCAAAATTGTCTAAAAATTTTTATTAAAATTATAGAATGGCATGAAAAGTTATTGATAAAAACAAGGGAAATGGCTCAAGTATTCGACGCATGGATTTGGAAAGTGCAGTAAGGTTCGAGCGAACAAAAAGAACAAATAAAAAACAAAAAATTAAAAACCTGTACATAAAATATAAGAAATACATGAGATATAAAATACATAAGATATAAAATTAGCTACTAGACACTAGAGGTACAGTAATGGAGGAGAAAGTAGTACTCTTTTTTTATTTATTAAAGAATACACATTCCGTTTTCTAGGTCGAAAAAAAATCACCAACCCGCCTTACAAGCGTGGAGATTTAATGTCAAAACCGTTCCTTGATGAACTTTAAAACAAAAGGATTAATAATCTATGTGGGAAGAGATAACCACTCACTAACTCATAACGGCAAATTGATTTGTCTCAAGAAATCTTCTTCTTCTAAATGTGCCTATCTTCTAGAAATGTTGGCGACCACATTGACCCATTTTATTCTATTCACAGTAGCTCGAAATAGATCAGTTGACGTTGGACCAGTCCAGTTCCTAACATTGGCCAGCCAGGATATACGTATATGTCGAGGGCCTCTCTTACCCTCAATCTTGTCTTGTAGAATCAACTGTAAAAGTCGGAAGGTATTTAATATTACGCATGATGTGGCGGAAGTAAACCAATTTTTTGTTGTTTACGGTGTTGATAATTTCTTTGCATTTTCTTAGCCTCTGGAGAATAGTTATATTACTTGTGTGGTGTATATATGAGATCCTTAACATACGTTGGTAGCACCACATTTCAAATGCCTCTAATCGTTTTATGACATCTTTTGTAAGGCTCCAGCTTTCTACTCCATAGAGGACGACACTTACAACGTAAACTGATACTTAAAGATAGGTTGCAGAGAATATTCCTAAGGCTGCTAAAAAAGCTTCTGGCTTTTTCAATACGAGTTTTGATTTCGCAGCTGTGATCCCAAGTATCCTTCATCCTATATCCTTTTATCTCCTTTAGTATAGTCTTATGCAACTTTTTGTATTCGTTGTCATTTCTACATTTTAATTTTCTACGCTCTTCCATCATCTGCAATATTTTATCTGTCATCCATTCTTGCTTCTTCTCTCTCTTTGATTTTAGATATTTATGCGAAATTGTGGTAATACATGTCTTCATTTCGTTCCACTTGTTCAATCACAAATTAATCCCTTAATTTGTAATCTCACATTATTCTTAACTTCTTAATCTTTTATAGTTTCACCGTGTATAATTGAGCCATTGTAAAACCATATCGTATAATATTTTAATAAATGAAATCGTAGGCTTCCACGGCCAGAGTCAGAATTATAGTTTATTCGTCTTCCGGGTTTGGACCGTGTCATTTGTGAGTGACCCAAAAGTGGGTTCATTTCTGGAAGTGGAAAGTGGAATAAACTATAATATTTTAATAATTAGTTCATTAAACTACAACTAAATAAATTGCCGAATAATATATTTTCTAATTGAACTTCCCAAATGTCGCAATTACGGCCTAAATTAAATTGTAATGTAAGCTGATAGTTCAAAGTTTATTGGTATGGTATGATCGAAGCAATAACTTCTGTGCTGAGGTATGAATTAGTTGTGAGATTATAAATTGGGGATTTAAGCTCATGTGAGCACAATTTATTATTAGTAGTTACCTAACCAACATCATATTGTATAATTACTAGTAGCTGTCAATAAAACCAGCACTTTTGCTCCACAACTACAAATTTTTATTATAATTATCATCGTCAATCGACAAGAAGCGGACAAAGGGACATTATAAAACGATTCGAACCTCATAACTACGTTCGAATCTTTCCACACTGTTCTTCTATGTCTCTAGTAGTGTCCTCAACTATTTTCGCAAAATTCTTATTAATATCTGTTTTTACTTTTTTCTGGATATCATTTTCTTTTAGTAATCTTATATCTGGAGTCAGATGACTCCAGATGACTCCAGAAATCCTTCACTTAATGGAACGCAGAAGGTTAATTAAAGGAAATAAAGATGAGTATAAAAAAATGCAGGCTTACATCAGAAAGAAAAATAAGAGAAGCTAAAAAAAAGAAGCTGTAGAGAAATGTACAGAAATAGAAAGACTACAAGCCAAGCATGACAATTTTAATGTACACAAAAAGGTCAAAGAATTAACGGGTACTTTTAAAAAGCGAACACAAATGAAACTCATAGACACCAATGAAAAATTAATCATTGACACCCAAGAGATGAAAGACAAATGGAGAATATATTTGGAGACACTTTTTCAAGATCAAAGAACGGATTATAGGCATCCATTTTCAGAGAGGATGACGGGCCCGGACATACTTAAATCCGAGGTGGAAGAAGCAATAAAACGGATGAAAAGCAGCAAAGCTGTAGGGCCTGATAATATCGAAGCTGAATTTTTAAAACTCTTGGAGGAAGAAGGAATAATTTGATTTTACGGCTGTCTTCAATAAAATATACAATACAGGAATCATCCCTGATAAATGGCTAGAATCAGAATTCATAGCGATACCTAAAAAATAGGCGGCTAAAAAGTGCGAAGAATATCGAACAATCAGCCTAATGAGCCATATGATGAAACTGTTTCTTAGAGTCATCCATGGAAGAATTTATAAGAAGTGCGAGGAACAAATATCGGACAGACAGTTCGGCTTCATTAACGCAGTGGGTACCAGAGAGGCACTTTTCGGAGTACAGGTACTGATTCAAAAATGCAGGGACGTTAACTGCGACGTATACGCGTGCTTGATGCGTAAAGTCATTTAACAGAGTTCAACATCAAAATATGATAAACATTTTAAAAGAGGCAGACCTGGATGACAAAGACCTCAGAATAATTTCAGAACTCTACTGGAATCAGACCGCATACATGAAAATTAACGGAGAAGAAACAGATCACATAAAAATACTACGTGGAGTTAGACAGGGATGTATCCTATCGCCGTTGATATTTAATATGTACTCAGAGAAAATTTTTAACGAGGCTCTCTACGGAATAGACGAAGGCATCCTTCTAAATGGTGAAAGAGTAAACAATGTTAGACATGCCGACGACACCATGGTGATAGCAGATAGTTTAGAGGGACTTCAGAGGCTAATGGACAGAATAAACGAGTACAGTCAACAGTACGGACTCAACATTAATACCCACAAAACGAAACAAATGATTATCAGTAAGGAGAATATAAACGGGGCTCATCTATACATTAATGGGACGCAGATAGAGCGAGTAAAACAGTATTGTTACCTGGGAACTATTATTAACGAACAGTAGAGAAATTTACAGAAAATAAAGTGCCGCATAGGAAAGGCAAGAACGGTCTTTAACAAAATGAGCGCCATCTTCAAAAGTCACAACATATCCCTTGATACAAAAATGAGACATTTGAGATGCTATGTTTTCTCTGTGTTGTTGTACGGGGCGGAGGCATGGACGCTTACAGACACCACTATTAAAAAACTTGAAGCATTTGAGATGTGGCTTTATAGAAGAATGCTGAGAATATCATGTACAGCAAGGATTACGAACAAGGAAGTTCTAGGAAAAATGAAGAAGGAACCAGAGATTGTGTTAACGATCAAACGCATAAAATTGCAATATCTGGGACACGTTATGAGAAATCAACACCGTTACTCCCTGCTACAGTCTATATTGCAAGGAAAAGTCAAAGGTAAGCGAGGACCCGGTAGAAGGAGAATATTATGGCTGCGGAATTTAAGAACATGGTTTAAGAAAACCTCAACGGAGCTGTTTCGAGCCGCAGCGAGCAAGGTTATGATTGCCAATATGATTTCCAACATCCGAAACGGATAGGAACCAGAAGAAGAAGAAGAAGAAGAATCTTATATCTATCTTGGCCCTCATTTTCTTACGAAATATTTTGAGTCGTATGTTGATATTTGCAACCAAGAGACTATGATCTGAGAAAACATCTGCGCCTGGATATGTTTTTGTTGAGGTGATAGAATTTCTAAACCTTTTGTTTGTGTTGATAAAATCAATTTAGTTTCTTAAATGTTCCCTGGGGTATCACCGGGTGCCTTCCATATATAAAGCCTTCTTGGGTGTAATTTAAAAAGTGTATTCGTTACAACCATATCCGTTTCTTGGCAGAATTTGATCAGTCTTTCTCCTTTTTCGTTTCTTATGCCAAGACCATATGACCCCACGATATTCTCTTGCCCTTTTTTGCAATTGAAATCGCCCATGATAATAGTAAGGTCATGTTTTTTGGTCAGTTTTAGAGAGTCTTCTAGAGTCTGATAGAAATTTTCTATTTCTTCTTCAGTGGATCCTGATGTCGGTACGTAAACCTGAATGATGTTTATATTAGAGGGACTTGAGTTAATTCTTAATAGCACAACTCTGTCTGATATGGGTGTAAATCCTATTGCTGCTTTAGCTATTTCCCTTTTTTACTATTATCGCTACGCCATTTTTGTTTCTTGTTGTGTCGTCTACAGAATAATATAAATATATGGTGTTCATCTATAATTCTTATTCCACAATTTGGCCATCGAACTTCACTGCATCCTAAAATGTCTATGTTCAGGCGAGTCATTTCTTGAGTAATATTTGCTAGGACATTATTGCTGACCGGGGGATTCTTAGCACTCTCTCCCCACTTAAGGGATGCCCGGGACTGAACCCTGAGGTCCGTTTGTTTTAGATTTTCATCCATTGTGGTGTCTTGGGGATATCCTTATGGATCTTTAATATGGTAGTCATCCCGTAGATTTACACATCTCAATGCCGTTGGCTAATTTAGCTCTTCCCCCTTTGGAGTCAATTTCTCAGCTCCAGGGCAATGAAGTGCCCTACCACATTTCAGTTCTTCCACCCGTAGCTGTTGACTAACAAATGGAGGATTACTTTTACCGGTAATCGTTCGGTAACTTCGCAGTATCACAACCGGTTAAATCATAATTACCGCCTGTGATTATTCAGTACTAGACCGGTAAAGAGATTTTTCTGTACAGCTCCGATCCTATAATGACATAGCTGCTGCCCTATGCCATGCTTTCAGTTGATACGCGAGTGTTTATTTGGCAAAGCCCAATTTGTTACCTGTAGGACGTTCCCTATCAGCCGTTGTGATGCGCCATGTTGAGGTTGAGAACTACCCCCTCCGAGTGTGTTTTCCAAGAACTACTGAAAAGCCCCTTCTCAATTCAGAACCCCTCCTTCTTGGAAACTACACCGACACGGCGTAGATATTCGATAAAATTAAACATTAGAGCCTGCAATAAACGATGTATAAATGGAGATACAAAAATTGATAAATTAGAAGACGAACTATTTAATTGATAGTGGGCAGGGAAGGACTGGTTCAAAAAGGCGCCAACCTTAACTCTTACCTACTCTCCTAAGCTTTTTAAATTAAACTTTTTGAAATTCTAAGACAAGTAAGGTAAATCAAAAATCTTTGTGAATTTTTTTAAGTTTAATTTTAATTTAAATCAATAAAATTTAAACATCTAAGGCAAGAAGTTTTTCACTGTCCCTTTTATACTCTGTTATACTTCTTAGATACTCCAATAAATTTTTAAAAAGTGAGTAATTTTCCAACTGCAAAATTATGGTGATTGGTGGTCAATAATAGGACTCACTTTCCGATTTTTTTTAGGTTTTTTTATTATGCTCCAAAACTTCCGCACTGCGCCTATTGCCTTCGTTAGCATTTATTTATAAAAAATTTAATGCTGAAATTTTTTTTAAATTAAAAAAAGCTGAGCTAGCTACCGATTTTGCCTGTTGATTGATTTATTGGTTCAATTAAGCATTGTGTTTTGCACAATACAACTCATATCAGTTTTGCCATAGGGGCATCCAGGGATTTGAGTTAATAGCTTAAATGCGACGTGCGGCTCCCTCGAAGACCATTCTTATGATTCGAGCTTGTTCTCCATTTTCCAGTATGTTATTGTGTTTTATAATTTTATTGATTAATGTTGTTAATTGTTCCAGTAATTCGTTTGGTATCCCGTCTTTACCTGCCGCTTTTCTGTTCTTTTGTTCTTCATTTGCATAAAGCTTTTTTAGGTAATCAATTCATGTATCCTTTTCTATGTGTTTTGGTTATATTAGTTCCTTTACTTACATTGTTTGACTTCTTATAAAGCGTCATATTTTCTTTTGCAGACCATAAAAATCTAAAAGATCTGTTGAAATTTGTTAAAGACCTAACAGTTTTCAATCGATTATCTACAAAGAGCGATCATAGTCTGGTGCAGTCAAAGATAAGCATCAGCAGACAATTTGAAACGTAAAAGAAAATTGAAATTGACTAGAGATTATATGAAAAATAACACAAGAATGAGGAGTTTCCAAAGAAAAATAGGGAAATTGTTGTCAGATACTACAGATGACTTAAAAATTATACAGTTAGTTATATAATTAAGCAATAAATGAAACATATAATCAAACTCAAAAATCATATAGCAAAACATGAGACAAGAAAAATACATATATAATCTTATATTAGATAACAAAAGCATGAAAATTTAATGTATTTAAATTTAAAATAAAAATTATATTTTCACAGTGTTTTGCAGTCATTGGAGATCATATCAATTTTTTGCTGAATCAGTAGTAAATCCGCAAGCTTTTGCTGATGCAGTTTCGTGTACTTCATGGAAAGATTACACTGCAGGAAGATGCAGGAATTTTGAAAACGGACCTCCAACAAGAATGGGTCTTTATGTAGATTTTGAGTAAGTATAATTTATTGTTTACCTATTTATAAAAACATGGCAATACTTGAAAATTGAAAAATAAAAGTAGATTTAAAAAAATAGTTCTAACAAAATAATGTTGTCATTTGTTACTAAAACCTAGTATTTCCTCCTCGGGCCATCATAACAGCTTACATAAGTCTTGGCATTGGAGTAATTAAATTTTGAACATAAAGTTGGTCCAATTCGTCCCATATTGTCGGAAGAGTCGCACTAAGCTCAGGCAAGTTGTTTGGGCGGGGTAGCCGAACTTGAGTCCGTCTTTCCACTGTGTCCCATAGATGTTCGATTGGATTGAGCTCGGGGCTGGAAGCTGGCCAATTCATACGGGCAATCCCAACGTCTACTAAGTATTCATTGACCACTCTACCACGATATGGACGCGCATTATCGTCCACAAAAATATAACTTCTTCTTTACGTGCCATTTCCGCGACAAATATTGGCAATCATCACTGCTATTCTAACTTTTAATACTACAAAATTAAAATTAATAAGAAAAACTCCATAGTTGGCTGTATACCATCCTTTAAAAAGAATACAGAAGTTAAAACACTTCACACATGTGTATTGTGGTATAAAAAACAAATAGTTAAAACTTTATAAAAAGTGTCATCAAAATTTAAGTTCTAGCAGAACGTTTTTGATCTGAACAGATCATCCTCAGTGCCTTGTGTACTTGTAGCTAACAATAATGTTATCTATGAGACCTCCACGTATGGATTTACAGCATTCCAAATGTTACATTTTGATTATGTTTTGACTCTAGGTCGATGACAATGGATACATTTTTAATCTCCCTGCTCGATTATTACCACGTGATACTTGTCAGTTGAAACGACAGAGTTGGTCTGTTTTAATACAATTAAAAATTCTAAACTAAAATATTTTAATACCAAATTAATCTGGTTGTTAAAATCAGTACGATAAGAAATTTATTTCATGTCACATTTGGTTGTTCAGTTGATGGTTCAATTTAAATTTTTCCTATTGTTTATAAGAACTACAACAAAAAATTTAAAAATTATGTATAGAAACTAATAATTGTACTTATACGAGGATTTCTACAAATTTATATATGCTATTTAACAAGTCCTAGTTTTTAAAACTCGCGATATATGAGTGTGTCGTAAATGAGTGTATTATTAGAATTTTAAATATTTTCAAGTTTTATAATTTTATTTTAATTCTATATAATTGTTTTAGGGCAAGAGGAAACTACTACTTACGCACAAATCCGGAATCTCCGTTTTCTCAAACATGAAAAAGAGTCGCTAAGACAGAAATCTTTTCTAGTCGTAAATAGTTACCTTAAAGAATTAGCAGACTGAAAACTGTAAAAATTGTTTTGTTAGATTGTTTGTATAAAAAAATATTTATTTGACGGTCAAAACAGTGTTCGAAATCATTGAATGGAAAGAATTTTAAAATAAATATGTAGTTGTACATTTCTAGTGTTTTATCTTTGATATACCAAAGACAAATGACATCAAATGTCTCATTTATGCCGACGATTTAGTCATAATAAAGGTATGAACAGATCGCTGTTTCAATAGTCGCAACAATAGTCGCAACAATTCATTCAATAGTTAACCTAGTATTGATAATTCAGTATATGCGATAAATTTTCAGTGTAAAACGGAGATGAAAGTCCTAGATTTACGTAAATCGAATTTTGTCACTGCGCACCCAAAACTGGCGTCTCTTCACTAATTTGAGCTAGAGTACGATACGTTTGACATAAGTCAAACGTATCAAACATAATAAATATAACATGAGTCAAACATAATAAAATGTCAAAATGTTTGTAGTAGTAATCAAAAATGGAAGAAGATAAGAAAGACGAAGAAAAAATAGCCGAATCATCTGAAACAAGCGTATCTTCGGACAGTAAACCTCAGCCAGAAGATAAATCAAATAAACGCACTGTCAAACAGATCATTAATGAAGTTCTAAATTGCACTGTAATACAACTACCGCAAAGTGAACCTAATGAAAATAAATCAGTCACAAAATTAGTAACAGTAAAAGATATTTTAGGAGAAATTTTAGAGTACAATGTGTTGGATGAAGTGAGTACTTTGGATCCTTTTACTATTGGGTCAGCAGAAACTTTCTATAATGGAGGTCCAAGTACTTCCAGGGCTGTTGATGTATTGGTGCATTCACAAAACAATACTAGTAATGAATCTATATTATGCGCTTGTGGTCCAAGAAATAATGAGCACGTGCTACAGAGAAACGAGACAGTTGTTCCAGTGAAACGGGCACTTCCGTCATATTCCTCAGTTATGAGACAAGGTTCTTATCATTATCATTCTACTATAAACAATTTTTTAATTTGTATTTTTAGATACTTATAGATATCACTTTATAGGCCCACAGGCAAACCTTAAGTCCACAGACTCCTTTATACCTAAACTGCCACCACCTTCTTACGCCGAAGCAGAAGGTATATTTTATAATGATATGGCTCATACAGTTTCTTCAGATACAATAATTTTTGGACCAGATCCTTTACATCTCATCTGTCCAGTGTGTAGAGTAATCGTAACTACAGAAATAGAAAGGGAAAGAACTGGTTTTTCTCATTGGATAGCCCTTATTTTGTGTATATTTTTATGCTGGCCTTGTTGTTTGTTACCATATTATATGAAATCGTGCAGTTATACTTATCACACTTGTCCGAATTGTCAACATTATTTTGGTATGTATAATCCATTTTAACAATAAAAATAAAAAAAACTTTATACAAAAAGGTATTTAAAATAACCTTCAAATAGTAAATATATACCAAAAAAAAAAAAAGCTGAAATGGTGCAAACTACACAATTAATATATCATATTTAATTGCCTCATTCAACAAATCAGTGTATAATCTACTAATTGAACTTATCAGGAAAAGAAAAATAAACATTTAGCATAAAAGCTTAAAATATTTTGAGGTGATCACTAAAATACAATCGATACGTAGGTACAAGTAGGTAATCTTTAAAAGTAGGTATATTAAAATACATTTAATTTTAATTCAGTAATATGTGATTAGTATGATCTATGGCTAATGAACATAGTTCGAAGCTAAACCTCTCCAGATGCACAAAATTTAGAGTAATTTTTGTTGAAATATTTGTTCCGCATCAACATATATTTTTTTGCACAGGCAAAGACCACTACTCTAAGAACTACTCTATTCTTAGACAAGGAAAAGGAGGGGACGCGTAATCGTATGGAATTTACTGAAGCCAAACCGACACCAGAAAGATTGCCAGGCCATATTTTATTTCTTCAACAGATTATGAATAATAATGGATATATATCAATAAATAGATTTTTTTTAAATTTATAATTGAATACTGACATAATGATCCCTTGAACATGATTTAATATTGTTGTTTATGTTTAATATGTCATCATCTACTGATATAATGATCCCTTGAATATGATTTAATATTGTTGTTTATGTTTAATATGTCATGTTTAATATTGTATATCAATAAATCGATTTTTTTTCCAAATTTATCATTGAACACTGACATAATGACCACTTGAACATGAACGATAATTTTGAGAATGATTTTATCATTACATATTTTTTTGTAGATCGATATATTGTTTCAGTAAATCATTAAATTGAAGTTGAAATAAGTAGATCTACTGAAAACCATGTAGACCTGATAACCCTGCAAGAGGTAGGAATGGGCAACGTACAGGCACCAAACATGGCGGACCTAACCTAACCTAACCTAACCCTCTTATGAGTCTTATCTATGCATCGAAACGTGCTTCACTTTTCGAAGGTTTATTAAATGAGTGTTACCTGTCCTCTCTCTTTCCTTGTCTAAGACTCTATTAGTCAGTAATACACCGATCACAATTTCACAGAACTCCATCCGTTTAAAATGATTATCAGGAAATATTTCTTGAATGGTCTGCACATTATGACAATGGTAGTTATTTCTTTTCAAAATATTCCTCACAGTGTTTTCATTTAAGTTAACTTTATCGGCAATTTGTTTACTTGAACACGGCGTCGCTTCTGCGAATGCACAAGCCTAAGGATTTCTCTAATCTCCCGTTCTTGACTAATTTTCTTTTCCCTAGATGGATCTGGTGGGCAGCAGTTTTTTCATTTTCCGTTGGTACAAACTTTTGAAATTGATGAATAATGGCCAAAAAAGTTTTTTTCTATTCGCTCCGTGCGTGACTGACGCGACACCTACCGCCTTCATCTGACAATTTTCGACCTCCTAATTTTCAGGTTAAACATATGACATATGTTTGACATTGTTAAATACATGGGAAATTGACAATTATTAATAAATTAGTTTTTTAACTGTATTTTTTCACTTTATGTACAAAATAAATGTAGTATTAAAAACTGGGTTTCTAAAAATTCATCATAATATATCTTTTTAACTCCAAACGGAAAAGAAAGGGAAAAATCTAGTACTAGCAAATCAAGTTTTTCACGCAAAAGAGCATATAATTAAAAACAATAATAGTAAAAGTTATGATATAACAGCTAAAGTCATCTGCAGTTAGCTTGAAGCCTTATGAAATATCATTCCAGGTAAATTATTTAAATTTTTCCTATTTCAATTGCATAAAAATGAAATTATGTGATATTTACTAGCACGAATTCATCTTTTTCTTTTCTCTAATTTATATGTAATCTTTGGGAACCTATAAAAACTACACTCACTGTTTTTGCTATTATTAGCACAATTAAATACGCAACATGTATTTGCACACATTTTTGATTCAATTTATGCGTAAAAATATTTTGTCCAATATTCCAATTTTGCCATATTTCGCCGCTACGCACGCTGGCATCGTTTCAATGTACCCCTACCATGGTCACGCACGGAGCGAATAGATATTGGCTTATTTGCAAAAGCTGTAATAAATAAATTAATAGCTTCTTGTACAGATTGACTCCAGAATGGAATTTTGTGAACTGATTTTTTTTCGGGTGTTATGTGAATGTGTAAGGAAAGTTCATAAATCCTGTTTTGGATTCTACGATTTGTTTGGCCTGTATAAGATTGGGGGCAGTCTGCACAAGGAATTAATAAACTCCGTGCTGTTCATTTAGAATGTAGTCTTTGATTAATCGGACAAGAGCTGAAAGTTTTTGCTGGGGGGTAAACATAGTCTTTCATAATCATCATCAATCTGTATGCGTTCACTGCTGGACATAGCTCCCTCAGCTCTTTCCATCTGTCTCTCTCTTGTGCGGCTTGCATCCAGTTTTTGTTTACACGCTTCAGGTCGTCAGTCCATCTAGTTGGTGGGCGTACACTGCTCCGCATTGCTTTTTGCCTTGGTCTCCACTCTAAAATACGTGTCCTGCCCAATTATTTTTTATCGACACGATTTTTTCGATTAACAACTTAATTAATAATTTTGTCAATTTTGTAAGTGACACCTTTGATGTTTTTTTGGCATAGGCATTTGCCATTCAGCCTGTCACAACTTTTTTAAGTTCTTCCCAAAGGAGAGAAAAGAAAATAATTATGACAATATATTTATTATTGGTTATTTGGATATTCATGGAACAAACATGGTTACTCGCTTTTCGTCTAGGAACCCATCAAGACATTAAATTAAAACACAAACTAGACCGGGTCACGGATAGTAGGTTTAAAGCAAATGGAATAAAACAAAGGTTACTATTTTTTAACTGGACTTACAAATTGAGGTTACTTTTCGTAATAAATTCTATTAAGTAGTTATATACAATTTTGTTATTTAATGGCAAAAGGTAACAAATGTTATAGGGTGGAACCTTTGATGTAAGGAAGAAAAACTTTCGTAGGATGAGGGTCTGAGTCTTTGAGTTGAGATTGATGTCTGTGGATGCGCCTATTAATGTGACTTTCACTGTAACCGTTTTGGATGAGAGCTTGTTTTAACTTGCATCATTGCAAATGGGTACTGATCTGGAGATATTAATCACTGAATTAATTTGTGAAGGTGGATGATGAGAGTTGGCATTTAAGTAATGATTAGTATGGGTGGATTTTCGATAAACAGAGAGATAAAAACCTTGGGATTGGTTTTTCTTTATGATAAGATCGAGAAATGGTAGGGATGAATCAGTTTCTACCTCCATTGCGAACTGGATACTAGAATGTACACCATGAGACCAAATGATGAATGTATCGTCAACATATCGTAGCCAACAAGTGAAGTTAAACATTGAGTGCTCGGGTCTCGAAATCTTTCATAAAGATATTGACAATTACTGGAGATAGTGAAAAGCTCATTGGGGCACCATTTATTTATTCGTAGAATTGATTTTGGAAGATGAAATAAGTGTTGGACACACAATGTTAAAAGACAGATAAGTGGTCCTTCTGGATACTGTATTTATTTTGCAGAATGTTT